ACGAGATTGGGCGGGACGATTCCCTCCAAGTCTTTCCATTGCGCTAGTCCGGCCCATCTCAGGACCAAGACGTAGCTTGGCAGACTTGCGGGGCCCATCCTCTTTGTCCCCTAGGCGTTTGAACGCCGAATCTCGGGTCTTGCTGGGTTTGGCTATAGCCTTACCCTTCCTCCTGCGGGCCGCCTCTTGCTCCGCCTCATCGACCTCATGGACATTTGAGGGTGCTGCTTCATTCATGGTCCCCGTCAGATTCACCAGGCGTATAGGGACCATCCTAGGGACAAATGTCGACGGGGTCGACATCGGAGGTCGCATGATTGGCGACGTCATACCAGGATAGGAAAATGGCATGAAGCCCCCTGCCTGTTGCATCATGGCCATCACCTGTTGATAGCCCTGTAGAGCCTGAGCATTTGCCGGGTCAGCAGCAAACTGAGCCCAAGCTGACGGGTATGGTGTGAAAGCTCCACCAGGCGTTGTTATCGAGCCTGGGAACATTGTTGTCGTTGGCGCAGGAGTAGGGGTTGACATGATTGGGATCATGCCAACTGATCCTACCGTGGTGATCGGGGCAAAGGTCGTCCCCATGCCTGGCATCATCAATGGGATGGCAGGAGTGCTTTCACTCGCAGCCTGGCTTGACACAGTGTTGTGGTTGCTTGAAGACATGATCGTGGATATTTAGTGGGGGTAAAGTTTTGACCTGGTCGAAAAAACTTTAAAAATCGGCCCCACGGTGGGCGCCAAAAATGATGGTGTAAATATAGCTGGGTGGGTCGACCGGATTTGACCTGGACACTCGACCCGTAATATAAAACACACCAAGAACACAAAGTATGACCTAGACCGGGTAAATCTCCTCAGTCCAAATTATATTTCTTACTCTGTCTCAAGAGTGTACTATTTTTAGTGAGAGAAATAATGGATCCCCTCCTCTATCCAATATCATCATATTTATAGAGGAGGATTTGTGACCTTCCCCTGTTCATCCATGGACAAAATGGGAAACCCGGAGGAAGGTCACTGTACATAATCAATTTACTATTCAATCAATGAATCTAGCAACTACAAGCCAAGACATGCACTGTTCAATCAAAGACTATAACATGGATATTCTCAATCCAATCAATCCTGCAAAACGCCATCATTCCCTTCACTGTTTGCCTCGTGATGGATGAGCGGCGGGGTGTCCTCTAGCCTCTGATGTTGATTGTCCTTCTCAAGTAGCACAACCTGACCGGTCACCTTTCCTCAAAGGTTACCCGGTCATTTCTTGAGTTCAACCCATCTCTTTGGTCCTCTGGAATATCCTTCGCAACATTAAGTGGCGAATTGGCTATCGCCCAAAATGTGACCGGTCACTTTTTTAGTGGAAGTGACCGGTCAACTTTTGACCCGTCTCAATCGAAGAGTTAACATCATTTTGCGACTTGATAAAAGTGATCGGTCATGTTTTGACCTGTCCCTTTCGGTTATCCGGGTCGGGTATAAGGATATACCCATCAATCTCTAAACTACTTCATTGCATCTTTAGTTTGTTCATCAAACAACATCACCTTGGGCCTATCTTCCGTTGTTTGTTGCCTCGGTGAAATTGGTATTCCTTTTCGATGAAGACTCATGAAATTGTGCAAAGTACGTGTTGCAATAATAATTTGAATTTGGTGCTCCTATTTCATTTGAGATATCCTATGGTGCAAAAGTAGTTTTTTATGAAAAATAACAATATTTTTTATCTTAAAGATATTCATTAAGATAACGTGATGACAATAAGAACAACAACATTAAGAATAATAATTTATAACAACAAGAATTAGAAATGAGAATAATATAAAAAAACACAAAAAAAATTTAAATTTTTTTTAGATTTTCTGATTTTTCCAGTTTTTTAATTTCTTCCCGTTTGTTTCGGTTCCTCCCAATTTATTTCCTTCCTTCCGCCTTTTTTTCGAATCATAAAGAATTTTACTTACCATATACTCCGTACGATACCTTCTCGGCGGAAGAGGGGACAACTGTAAACCAGCCCTTATCCTGCTAGTCTCCCCCTTCACTCCGTCATCGACGACTGCCATGACCGGGTTCGCCGGCCTCAAGCTGGCCTTCTGCCCCAATACCTCTGTCGCCTCTTTCAGCTCCCCGTCCCTTCCATTTTCATCTCCCAATTTACATCCCAATGTGGTCTCCTTTCGCTTCAAGTTCCCTAGTAAGTTCCTCCCCTCATACATACTCCGACCATTTTTCCTTTCCGCTTTCCTGGTTCGATGTTTCTTCTTCCCTGAAATTTTCAGGACTATGCGCGATTTCCAGCAACGATATTGAAATCGGCCGCAACATTGAAGTGGACGGATGTCCTTGGAGGGTTATGGGTAATTTTCCCCCAATTTCTATCCACCCTTTCCCGCGTTTTTTCTCATCCGCCCGTGTTTGGATGAATTTCCTGACTTTTTGCAGAGTGTTTTCTTTTTCCTTTTGGTATATTTTGTTGAATTTCCCTTTCAGAGTCTTTCTATTTATCAACATGAAGAAATGTTATGTAGTCATGTTAGAGGGTTTGTCTGTGTTGAAATCTGTTTGCTTCACCCTTCAAATTACTTCTTCTCCTTGGCATATGTCAGAGTTTCTACATGTGAAACCTGGCAAAGGAGCTGCATTTGTGAGAACCACATTGCGAAACTATGTCACGGGAAACACAGTCGAGAAAACATTTCGAGCTGGATGTAAGGTATGATTTTTGAACTAAACAATTTTGCCTTTTTTCGCATACGTAACCGATGAACTATGTGCTCGGATATTTGTTTAGGTGGAAGAAGCAGATATTTTCAAGGAAACGAAACAATTCACTTATAAAGATGGTTCACAGTTTGTGTTCATGGACATGGTATAGACGTATATTATTTTCTTTCGTTTCAATTCATAAGTGTACTTCTACATACTGCATCTTCATATATCAGGCGTATCTTCAACATTGCACCATATTCCTCCATTTAAAGTAGCAGGAAGTGGTAGCTTCATCTTTGCTTTCCATTTTGGGCATGTATGTTGCAGAGTACGTACGATGAGTTTCGCCTCAATGAGTCAGATGTTGGGGATAAAACAAAGTTTCTTAAGGAGGGCATGCAATGCAATTTACTCTTTTGGAAAGAAAAAGTAAATTTCTATTACTGTATTTGTATATTGGAGGATTTGAATTGTCTTATCATTTTAAAGTTTACATTATACTTCTCTTATAGTACTAGTTTATCACTTCATCATGTATTAGTTTAATAATGTTAATACTTTTATAGGTAATTGACTTTGAACTCCCAATCACAGTGAAGTTAACAGTGGTTGATGTTAATCCTGGTCTTAAAGGAGACACTGTACAAGGTATGCTAAAATTGGAATAGTTGATGAAATAGTTTAATGTCCAAACTTTTTAATTAAAAAAAATGAATGCTGAATCTCGTTGAAAAGGGATATAATTGTAGATGTGGGATGACTTGATGAGAAGTTATAGTGAGCTTTAGTATTTTGGTAAAAAAGTTGTGGGTTTGATATTAAAAAATGTAAAAATAATATAACAAATATATTTGGTTACAATAACTGACACTAATAATAACAAATGAATTGAAACTAATTTCCAAAAAAAATTTAAAAAATGATTCAATAAAAAGAACCATTTAAGAATAAAATAACCAAAAGCTCCTACTTGAGTCATTCTCCTCGGATCGTTGATACACACCATTTAGCGAGGAAAATAACTCGTGGTAGAATTGCACCATGCCTATTGGTCATTCAAGTTTAAGGCAAATCATTGCACTTATAAAGTTAACCATATCAAATGAAGCCTAAGTGATATGACTTGGTTCATCATGAAACTATGGTGGGTTTGATACCTACAAAGCAGCACAAGATATTCTCGAAATATTGTCCAGACTTTGTAACCAATATGGAGCATGCAATTTCCTAAGCAACATTGTGATTTTATTATTGCGTTACTGATTCTGATTTTTAATGTTGTGCTGTATGAACTACAGGTGGAACGAAACCTGCTACCCTTGAGACCGGTGCCATTGTTAATGTTCCGTTGTTCATAGAAAGAGGACAGGAGATTTTGGTGGACACTAGAACCGGGCAATACATGAGTCGAGCATAGTAGGTTTCCCTGTCACACATAATTGCCCAATATGGTTTTTTCTTCCTTTGAAATGCCATTTTAAATGGATGTTTGCGAATTTGTGTCATTGCTCAATGAGTTTGATATAAGAGGCTTATATATTTGCAGACATTGTGAAACTAGTACATACAAGCATCTTGAAGGAGACAAAAAGATATGCACATTTGCCGTTTTAACCCTTCTGTTTGGTGCCCATTGGGTTTGGTACCTTGGCAAATCTGTTTGGTTTGCACGATTAAAGGAAAATGTTGGCATATCTCACCATTTGCCAAATATTACTCCGTAATTATGTTGGAGTTTATTTTATTTTAGGAGTGAAAAGAAGAATAAAATAACTAAGAAAACAAAATTGGTGTGTGAAATGAAAGCAAGAAAAGAAAGAAAAAGAAGATAAAAAACTACAGGATGAGCCCCATCTCGACCCCTTTGAACCGGTCGGGTGATAGTCTGAGAGAAGATAAATTGAACTATCACATAGTGGATGACAAAGGGTGGAGCATACATCTAGTACTTGCAGAGATGTTATGTTTAGCATAGTTGTTTTCCTGTGCAGTTGTCAAAAATTGAATTCGAGTTTCCCCCTTTAGGGACCATTGCTCAACCAAGCAACGCCACCGGTAGAAGATGAAAAACTAAAGGAAGATGCAAGGTGCCAAGTGAAGTAGGAGTATTTTGACTTTGATTCAAATACAAAGATGCAAGGTGCTCAACCAAGAACCTGTATCACGCCATTACTATTCAAACGGTTCGATATGATTTTGAAGTTATGCCTAAACTCATTCGTATCATGTTCAGTAACGAAATGGTACCATGCCATACTATTATACTAATGTCAAACCATTCCATAATACTTTGATGCTTTGAAAATATTTTTATTTATAACAAACAATCGACATAATTAAAAAAATTGGTGCACAAATATTTTTATGCATTCTTAGTTTCTTACTCAATATGTGTATTGCTTAGTTACAATTTTAAAAAACTTAACCATAGTTTGCATTTTTAACAAATAAAATTGCAATTCGAGATGTACTTCAAGGTAATAAAGTTTTAAAAACCATAAGTTTAAGTATGTGAAAGGCACACCAAATAAATATCACCTAAACTTACTAAAACTTAACAAATGAAAATGTATAATTAATTTATTCATTAATATTTTAGTGGTAACTATTCGGTTCGGTATTTTTAGTATTTATGTTTTTGGAAACTTCTTCTGTACCAATTTGAAAATGGTTCGGTTCGGAATATAATTTACTAGAACCATTTGAAAATTTGTTTTTTGGTTGGTAGAATACTGGTCTGGTTCAAAACAACTTCGTACCGGTATTTTTGTACATCCCTAGAATGAAGACAAAAGAAAAAGTAGACTTGATCAAAGGTCCAAGTACTCGACCTACCTGCAAAAGCATGTTCGCAAAATAGTGAACTTGTGTTTGAATATTTGGAGTACGGGTCCGAACATATTAAATGGGGGCCCTCAACCTTGTGGGCCGGGCTCGAGCTTTATAGTCAACAGGCCGGGCTGGTCAAACCTAATAATATTAATAATATAATGCACTTTGTAATAATAATGCTTGTAAGCTAATAATAATAATATCGATAATTATCACAACAATAATATTTATTATTATTATTATTATTATTATTATTATTATTATTATTATCATCATCATCATCATCATCATCATCATCATCATCATCATCATCATTATTATTATTATACGGAGTATAAACACACTCACATTCTTCTGTTGAGAAGAAGAAAGACTTATTAACTTATTTAGTCAAATAAACACCTTAAAAAATCAAATATACATACTCCGTATTTTTATTATTGTTATTCATTCCACATTAATATTTTTTTAAAAAATAATATTCCTTCCGTCTCAATTTAAATCACCTATTTTGGTTTATTATGTTTGACTAATATTATTTTCAAAGCATTTTATATGAAAAATGACATAGAATAAAAAAAATAAAAAGTACGTATTTTAAAACTACATCAAAAGACCCTAAAATTAGTAGTGACATTACTATATTATTTTATCAAATGACTCACAAAAAAAGGAACAAAAATATATAAAATTTGATCATGTCAATAGCAAATAAATAATTTAATTTAGAACGGAGGGGTAGGAACAATATCACACAAAACATGTTGTCTATATTAGGTTTTAAATTCATAGTGTTTTCTCCATAAGTTTTATATCGGACATCTAAGAGCATCTCCAATCATTCTACTTTGGCTTGCAAAAAGCCATAATATAGCAAGTCAACTCATTTTTCTTTTCTTCAATGAGTGTGTTAAATTTTAGCAAGGTTTCTAAAAATGACTTTGGTTTTCTAAATATAACAAGCTCTCTAAATTTTAGGAAGCCAAGAGTTGTAGAATAAATTAGCAAGCCATAGTTAGAGAATGAAACAAAATATTACTCTGTAATCCGTATGATATTATTTGATAAAAATATCACTATACACTTGTTAAAATATAAAAATAACAAACCAATATAGTAAACAAGGTTGGAGATGCTCTAATATTACTCTGTAATCCGTATGATATTATTTGATATAAAAAAAATTATTTTTTAATTATGTAAAAAATATTATAATGTGGACCGGCCAAGACCGAGGCAAAGCCTACTGCTACGCCTGCTAGCAGTGCAAGCCTTGCTTAAGTTCTAATTCTTAGGCCCACGTTATCGGTCGGGTCAGACTTGGACCCAACATATAGCTTGATCTTGTTGGAATGCATGAGTTCAATCTTTTCTGTGTTGTTAAGTGTTGACTCACATGTTTTGATAATTGACAAACACAATTTATTCAAGTCAAGATCAAAGTGCTACAACGTCAAAACACGAAGACTTGAAGTGTCATTCCTTAAAGTATTCAAGAAGGTGCACAGAATTTTATTGGAGTCCGAGACGCGTTCGGAGTGCCTAACGGAGGACTCGGAGAAGTAGAAGATTTCCGAAGACTTTTTATTTATTTGAGTCGTAAGAATTCTTGTAAGGATGACAAAAATATCTTCTCTCCAAAATTATTTTTATAAGAGTTAAAATAAAAATTATATTTATTTTTGGAGTCAGTTGAAAAATCATTTTAACTGTTCAAAATAGTTTTATTGAGTCAGTCACAAAAGGTGTGCCAAACATTTATCAAATATTTATTTTGATAATATAAAATATTTTTGGTAAGCAAAAATATTTTATTCAATTATTTTTCGTGTACATCGTTTGACACACAAAATATTTTTGGGACTCAATTTCTACACCAAAATTCTTTAATTAATTCAAATTTTGAATTTGAATTAATTCTTTTCAACCCATTTGATTTGTTTGTTTATGGGAACCTTATCACACTCAATTTGTTGTCTAAAACAAATCATTAAACTCCAAATATCCATCCCACTCGCACACATGTCTTGGGTCCTCATGTTTGAGGGCTGTTCGTCACTGGATCGATCATCTTGCTTTGCGTTGAGGGATTGGGATCGATCCATTTCCCTGGATCGATCCGCCGAAGGCTTGCGAAAATCCGTTTCCTGATTTTTGGTTCCAGAGGATCGAACCCTTGCCCTGGATTGATCCCTCGAAGTTTTGACAGAAATTTTTCTTCGATCCATTACTCCAAATGATCGATCCTTTGCCCTAGACCGATCCCCAACGGTCCAATCTGTCAAAAACACTTCATCCCTACATCCAACGGATTTATTTCTTTTCTCCCTATAAAAACACTCTTCCTTGGTCATCTTTCTCAAGAAGAAACATTCTAATACTCCCCATTCTTGAGGTGTTTATCCTCTATCAATCTTTCCTCAAATTTATATTATTTTGAGAGAAAACTATTTGTTTTTAAGAGAGTGTTTTGTCATCCATTAGAGTTTTAATCATTTCTCTTATTTACTCTTTTGAGAGCTATTGTTGAGAGGTTGAAGAAGATTGTTCTTCTTGTTGTTCAATGCTTATGTGATTTAAGTCTTGATTGTGAAGTCTTGTAGAGGGCATATCTACGAGCGGTTGTGTCGAGGCTTGTGGGATTCAAGTTCTCGAGTTGTAAACGGTTTGTTAAGCACCCGTAAGCTTAACGGAAGTAGTGGTAGCTTCGAGAGAGTCTCTCAGGGAACTGGACTAGCCACGAGGTGGTGAAGCAGTATACATCGGTGTGTTCTTTGCCTTCTCTATTTTATTTCCGCTGCACTTACGTTTATATTTTTAATCCTGCAAAAATCGGTAAACATTCTCTGCAACTCTATTCACCCCCCCTCTAGAGTTGCACGCCTTATCTAACAGATCTGGCCTACTTAGAGAGACTCTTCAACTTAATCTCATTGGAAACTTCATGTTAAAGCAGATTTAGATCAAATTTGAAACAATTTTATACTCCCTCCGTCTTATAATGTTCTTCTTGTTTATGTTTACGAGGTTGGATTGACTTTATATTCAATTCAATTTATTTGATTTTAGGTGTAAAAATAAAAAAAAATTATATATTTAAAAACTAAATCAAAAGTTCTACAATATTTTATCAAATATCTAATGAAAATAGGTAAAGAAAGTGATAAAATTTAACCGTGTGAAAAGTAATTGGGAAGAACATTTTATTTTTAAAACAAAGGGAGTATATAACTATATTCACAACTATTCAAATTAAATCAGATTAGAAGATAATCAATTCAAAAGATGATGGAGAGCTTAACTTGATAATGTGAATTTTCCACTTTATGACTTATTTTTACAAAAATCAATTCAAAAGATAAAAGGGTATAGGGTGGAAAACGGCACCGTTCTGTTCTCTGACTTCAGTGCACCATTCTTTTCGTCCACCCATAGCCTGGTGCGGCACTTTCCAGAAAATTCTCCAAAGAAAGCTGGCCATAGATGGAGCAGAGAAGTGTTCGATTTGCTTTTGGATTCATAGCGCTGATAATTTATGCTCATGCGTTAATCAGAGAAGCCTCCGCTTCAATTCATGAGTACCGAAATGAGCAGTTCATCCCGAAGTCCAACGCCTTCTTCTTCCACGGAGGCACTGAAGGCCTTTTAGCTTCCGAGCTCGAACACTCATCTGCTAATATCTCCATTGATAAACCCTTAAAAGGAAAATCCTTCATCAGGTTTCTTTTGCTCTCTATCTAATTCTCGCATCAGAATCGCGCAGCTCTATGCATATACTCCCGCAGACCCCTAATAATTTACCCCCTTTGAATTCGAGACTTCGAAAAGTGTAAAAAATGAGTGATTGCCTGATTGGAAAAAGAAATTGGGTTCTTGGACGGAGGGAGTACCTAATTGTGATTATATCTTTATGTTTATATAGAATTCTAGAATTTAGTCTCTTAGTCAGTGATTAGGTGATTTGATTATGTTTGATGATCGTTTGTCATCTTTCCTACAATTTAAGATGGAATTTAGTTGCTACCGAACTTATTATATAATGTTTTGATCTTAGCAAAATAGATTTTACAATGGAGTGGAGTGGTGGATCAATGGTCTTGCATTTTATGCCAGCATCCTAGTGACCCAGTCATCTGTTAATATGGATGTTCTTGGTGAAATCAGTATTTGTTGATGTTGCTTTTCTGTTAGGATTCGGTAGATATGGAATGTTGAGAGGTGTACTTAAAGATTCTAGTAGACACTGTGGGGTCTCTTTGGATTTTTAACTTTTTTTTTATTTTTTCAGGTTTGAAGATATTACCTTTGTGAGGACAAAAGAATCAATTGATAGTAAAAGTGCCATGCGGAGTAAAAATGGTCTGGTTGAGGCCATCATTCTTGAGGTGAAAGACAGAGAAAGAATCGGAGACTCATTGCCAAAATCTAATGCAATTTGCTGCACCAAAGAACTTGCTGATGATAAACTCTGCACCGTAGGGGAGGTTATCATTCAGAGACATCCCGACAACCCAGAGTGGCCCAAACGAATCCAGATATTTTTTGAAGGAGATCACCAAGAAGCTAAAATGGATCCCCAATCGGTTGAAATAAACAGTACAGGCATTTATTATCTCTATTTCATGTTCTGTGATCCGCAACTACAGGGTACAGTCATTAGCGGAAGAAGTGTGTGGAAAAACCCAGATGGTTATTTGCCTGGGAAAATGGTCCCCTTAGTGACCTTTTATGGAATTTCATCTTTAGCTTATCTCGTGCTTGGTCTTTTCTGGTTTGTAAGATTTATACAGTACTGGAAGGATGTCATTCAATTGCATTCTCATATTACAGTAGTTATTGCTCTTGGCATGGTTGAAATGGCTCTCTGGTACTTTGAGTATACAAATCTTAATTCAACAGGAAGGAGGCCAATGGCAATCACTCTCTGGGCAGTAACAGTTAGCTCAATAAAGAAGACCTTATCACGTGCGCTTCTTTTGATGGTCTCAATGGGATATGGTGTTGTCAAACCTACCCTCGGTGGTGTAACTTCCAAATTATATCTTTTAGCTCTCACATATTTTATTTCCTTGGAGGCACTTGAACTTGTTGAACACTTGGGCAATATCAATGATTTCTCGAGAAAAACAAGGTTATATTTGGTATTGCCTGTTGCTTTCTTGGATGCCTGGTTCATTTCATGGATATTTTCATCGTTATCCAAAACACTAGAAAAGCTTCAGGTAACGTTTTTTCGTTTGTGTCAGTTGAGCCTTTGGGATACACATCTGTCTATATAAATTGTACAAGTATTGATACTGCAGAAGTGTTAAAACAACATATTTACATGCATATATTAGGGAATAAAGTTTGACATAGATATATTCTAAAGCTTTTCTTGGACACTTTTTGTCCCTCCGTTGGCATCCCATTCATTTTCATGTATGACTAGTTCTGAGTGTCATGAATAAGTTGTCTTGTGAACTCATTGTTCCCAATTCCAAGCTTAATTTATTTTAGATGTACCAACCCACATTCCACATGCATCCCATACATATTGGATTTGTCTATGTTTTTTGTGCATAACTCTTGCATAGTATATTGAAGTTGTAGCATTACTGACAGTGTGCTTTCTTTCACTTGGCTTCTGCACTAGTACAGAATAATGAATGCAATGGGGACGTAGTGAGATGCAATTTTGCTTCTTTTGAAGTGTTACATCATGACTCATGACAATTAAGTTTGTGGTTTTATTATCCTTTGTATACTGTAGGTACGAAAAAGCATTGCAAAACTGGATCTCTACAGAAAGTTTACCAACTCCCTTGCAATCTTTGTTCTGCTATCCATAGCTTGGGTTGGCTATGAGGTAATTTCTTCCATTGCTATATGTACCAATAATTTTGTGTCATCAATGGGTTGTTTTTAGATCGAGACAATAAGAAGAATCCTCTATTTTGAGGCTATGGGGATGGCCATGTTGAATAAATCATATGCAGTTTTTCATAGACGGATGCCTGTATACATCTTAATTCTCCCTTTTTCATACTTATATTACATATGTCAATCCTGATGTTCTCCGGTACTTGATATTGGATCAGCTATACTTCAATGCAAGTGACCCATTAGGCGAGTTATGGCGATTTGCTTGGATAATTCCTGCTTTTTGGACGGTCCTAGCATTTTCTTTGTTGGTGGTTATATGTGTTCTTTGGGCTCCCTCACGTAATCCGACCAGGTACTTTTTCGGATTGATGCCCTCATCTCCCATTCGAAGTATGTTTGGGTTGCGATTATTGGAGGATTAGGACATTTTGTTTTGAAAAATTAGAAAGGATAGGGGTTGAAGCTCCCCATTTTTTCCTGTCCTGATACCCGTTATTTCCTGCTTCTTTTGGATTTGTCTAAGTTTTTTGTGCATAACTCTTGCATCATGACAATCAAATGGACAGGAAAAGTGTAGTATCATTAGCACTAATATCTAAGAGCTAATTCTTTCATGTAACTGTGAACAACAGATATGCGTACTCTGGGGAGACCGTAGATGACTTAGATGAAGAGGCTATCTCACTGACAAGTGCAGTCAGGGTAGTAGTCGGTGACTCAGGAACAATGCTTGAAAGGAAGGAAAAGAAGGGGCCCACTTCAACCGAACGAGAAGACATAGAAGAGGACAAGCGAGAATAGATAGCAACTTCACTCCCCACCACCACCACCACCACCACGGCCACCACCCAATCCCTCCACCCACCCTTGTGGCACATGCCGCGTCTTTTTTCTTGCTCGCAAGGGGTAAAGTAGGACGAAATTTTATATATATGCCGTGGGATGTACAAAGGTGGTTATGATTTGTATAGTGATTAGTGAAACCTCACAACGTTAACGGATGGCTAAAATCTCAATATCTCACTCATGACTCATCTGTAAAAAGATTTTCGAGATCCTTAGTTGGAAGTTGATCTCTTATGGAGTGTAAATCTTAAAAGCATTATATTATATGCCTACTAATATAAGTTTCCAGTTTCTGAACTGCACTAGTCTTAAAGCTCAAATGCTACCACTTTTATGATTTGATTCGATTTAGCCTTGATATGATTTGATCGTAGTTGTATTAAGTTTGTTTTTGTTTTGATTTCAATAAAAATAAGTAATAACTAAAAAAAAATAAGTTGAAGAGAACAATCTCTCAGAAGCATATCAAAATGTGTAAATGAATTTTTTGCCCAGTTCATTCAAATGTGGCTCTCCACCCAAGGTTTGAATGATTCAAAACAAATATAATCTTCTCAGGATCCCATTTCTAATTCACCAAATGCAAAGCCAAAAATGACTCAATTGGAGATGATTCAAGAACTGCTCAAACACAACACAAACATGAATTAATAATTGTTATACCTCCCAACCATGGCAGTGAAACACATACTGTATTACACCACTTGCGTTCATTTATTGTTACAACAACTAAAAAAACAAAGAAAGAATAGAAGAGTGATGGCATTTGATGAGAGAAAAGATGGCCTCCCAGGGAGAGAAGGATGATGGTAGATCAATTTTCTGAACCCTTTGTCTGCTTGCCATCACTTATCATCATCCTATATGAAAAGAATGCTGCCATCGCGCCACTGCACGAAACAAATTTTCATCCATTAGGTTATGATGATGATGATGATAAGTTTGGTGGCATAAACAAAGTATTGACTGCAACTAGATGGACTTCATCAATGAGGTTACGTGATAAATCACAGAAGTGAAAAAGTTAATTAACCTGATTAACGTTGTAAAAATGTTCGCGATAAATGCTCTCTGCACAGGACAAAACAATACGAGGTTAGAGATAGACACCGGGCAAACATGTAGCCAATTAAAAAACCTCAGAAGAACCAGAAAATAAAGCAATTGGGGAGGGGATGGGTGTAGAGTTTTTACCTGAAACAGCAGGCGGAGCTCTCTTAAAAATAAGATCGTAGCAATTGCTGCAAAACAGAAATAAACCAACATTGCTTTCAGTAACACATTGCCAGTCACTGAGTTACAGTGGGGTGGATTAAATAATTCATTAATTTTCAGCAATGGGTAATTGGGATCTTCTGCTCATAATAACTATTAGAGCAGTGGAGGTGGGGGAGAAGATGTAAGAAGAATAGGAAATCATGTACTGCTATGGAAAAACACCGAGGGAAAAAAACCTGCTTGTCCTCTTAAGGCGAGGGAATTTATTTCCCCTTTTCTCCAACATCTTAGGCTTGAGACACTCAAGGCCAACAGAGTACCACCGAGAATAACCCCAAACCTTATAGCAGCGATACTTCCAGTAAGCATGAAGCACAAAAAGCCACCAACGGAAAGAAGAGAACCTGCAAAGGATTATTATGGATGAAAAGGTCCCCTATCATGGGTGCAGGAACAAAATTTGTGTATGCAAGAAAACAATTAAAATATATTTATGAATGGATACCATATGGTATCCCAAGGTGAAAGTCACGAATTTCAGAGACATCATTCAATTCATCGGTGGAGGAAGCAAATGTTTCAACAACATCCTTAAGGGATTCAGGGGATTTCTCAGCAGCTATAGTCAAATACTCTTTACTTCCCTTTCCGACTTCCTTTGCAACCACACTCAAATCGCTTCTTGCTTTCTTGGACTGAATCTCAATTTTCTCAGAAGTTTCTTTCAAAATGATGATCGCTTTCTTGGAATACACGTCGTACGCTTCTTGCGACAGATTCTGCATCTTTTTGGCTTGTTCTCTTATATAATCAAGGGTCCTTTCAAGGCAACTTGTGCTTCTTCTGCATCCATTTTGGCACTGCTCTTCTCCTCCTCAACATTGATATCTAAATGCTCCTGAGAAAACCAAACAAGAAAACACATAAAAAAACAATCTTTTTGATATGGTTCTAATGGATAACCCATTTGGATAGTTCCTTTTTAAATGTTTTCCAAATTACTACCTCTCCAACTCTGTCACTCCCTTTTTTCAAAGAAAATATTTGAATCTCATTAGTGAAGAGACAACATTGTTAATGCCGGGAACAGTGAAAATAAACTAGAAATTTAAATAAACATATTCTGAATTTTGCAGGTTAGGCACGATTTTATGTACACTTTCATAGCTTGAAAATATTAGTACATAACAACTGGACAAAGATAAGCAGCTGCAGGACATGTAAGAACTTCAAAATGGTATAATGACACAATGCATTTAAAATTGATTTCAAAATTTCAGAATTTAAAAAAACAAACAAAATCACAATTAAAGGATGCGCATTGCTCACCGGTTCCTCTGTTGAAGCAGCACATGAGAAAATGGACCTCCTCCCGAGACTTGGAGGGCAAATCCGACCGGTTCGGATCCCAAGATGGAGGCTTTTAGGGCAAATGGGGCGAGTCAAAGCCATGGTTCTGCAACCGCGTGGAGGCCCAACTGCGAGGGAGAAACCGAAGCGGGGATTCGTCTTCGAACGCGGAGTCAATCTAGGGCTAGACTTCCCTGCCGCAAAAAGCTCGACTGCAGCCATAGCGCTCATAGTACGAGATTGGGGTTTTGACCGGAGGGGGTAACAGCGTCCGGCGATCGGCAATGGAGCTCCGCCGGCGTTGAAGAGCGGAGTGTTAATATCTTCCACGAATTTTGCCTGGCGGCGGCCGTCGTCGAGTGGTTGGCGTGAGCGACTCGAAGAAATGGATCGCTTCGGTGATATATGCAAGCGTAGAAGTCCAACGTTTAGAATCGCTTTGGTGTGTTTAAAAAATGAATCGCTTTGGTGACACGGAAAATGTGTCAAATATATTATGGTTCAATGACATGTTTTTAGTCGGAAGTCAGGAACAAATGTTGTCCCAATATTTGCTTCTCCTTCAATGTTGTCCCAAATGTGATCCCACACTTTCTTTACCCACAGGCCACATCATTTTTAGACTCTAATGGCCCGTTGGTGAATGTAAAAAATATGAATATTTTAATCCGCATCAGAATCCTATTCTGATGTATGGTGAAGCATACATAAAAAATTAGATTTGATCTCTCTTAATATCACAAATTCTCTAAATAAAGAACGTTGATATCTCACGAATTTGATATATATCAATATGAAGGTTCGATATATTCCCCAGACATCAACCATCCTTGTCGCTGGCTATCACCACCAACCATCCCCAGGGGCGGAGGAAGGGGGGCGGACATGGCAAGTGCCCCCTTGGTGAGATTCTGGCAAAGTAGTGGTTACCGGCAGTTTGAGTTATCAGGCGATGAAGGTGCCCTGCCAAGTCGAAATGTGAAGAAGATATATGACGGGTTGACGGTTGACCAAGTGACCATCCGCTGGCCTACTTCCCGTTTTTAAAAGAAAACGCAATACGACTTTTTTTTATATCAAATTTTGTAGCACACTAATCCGTCCAGGTCTACAATCCCTTTTGGACTAAAGTATTAACTTGGTCATCGTAAAATTTAAAACATATTAAACAATTTTATTTTATCATAAAAATAATTATAACAGTAACAACAACGGAATATCAAATTCGCGGAAGCTTAATAAATAGTTTCACATCACAATCACAAAATAATTCATGTTTAAAATATTTATTGAACAGTTCAGAACCATCACAATCCATTCCGACAATCTCGCCCTCGTTCGCCGCCAGGATCACATCACGTCATTCTTTTGTTTACCTACGTGTAACAAATAAAACATACTACACGCTCAACTGTGAAGATGAGTAAGGATATCTAATGCACCAAACATCCACATAAGTTGAATCTCAATTCATAATCAAATCATTTGATATCATGCACATAATATTCAGTTCAAATATTCAACATTCAATGTCAATAGTGCTTTTAAATTATTCTTAGTCTAAGGCAAAAACACAAGAATCGATGACCTATCCTACAAGTTTTATAGGCCACGCTCAAACCGAACAACGGACTACTCACTATCGGGTGGGTGGTATCCCCAAACGAGTTATACTCTAGTTTGATTTACGGATCCCGTATGTACATTTTCACCGAGGCCACCGGACATCATACCCGCAAGACCCAAACTATTTATGTCACATGAGATCTGTCTTAGAGTTCTTCTAGATTGCCTTAATATTCATAATCATCATTTAATCAGGATATTTATTTATTCAATCATCATCATCAATATTCAACAAAATCATCATAATACTTAATAACAAATAGCGGCATAACGTCGGGTGTTAACACCCTTGTTTACTATTATGCATCAACAAGCTATTTTTGTTCAGAGCATTATATTTAGTTTCAAAATAATAATGGTTTTGATTTATAGTTTATGTAACACCCTCCGACTCGTGAACCCGGTTCGCCGCGACTCGACGGGCCGGAGCGGTCACAGAAATGGTATTAAGGACCATCCAAATAACGACTTTGATAAAATACTTTTGAAATAAAGACCTTATTCAGATTTATGTAAACAGAATCCTTGGGATTAATTCCCTAAAACGTACGAAGTAGGTAAAACGATAAAGTTGCGGAAGCAAAAGAAAACCAAATGTCCAGTCCAAATAATTTAAGTGCAACAAAAGTGTGTTCTCAAGGATCTGGGTCACTCTCTCTGACTGACCACCCGTTTGTGGCCGGAAAGGCTATACTGAAATGAAGATCAGAGCCCCAAAGTTTTCTGTAGGCTCTTCTAGAACCAATATGTGTAACACGGGTCACGATTTGAAATAACGGATGAAGGGACTCCATGTAACCAGATGATCTCGTGGGTGAACAATTCTCTGTGATGCTCAGGTTGCTGTTATCATCTTCTCCACCCCAGTCACCTCTTTCAATTCTCCAGTTCCAGGTCTCTCTCTGTTCTTAATCACCTGTAATTTATCACTCCATTTGTAACCCTAATCTTAAAATTGTACAGTTATATTTGATCAGTAGAAAGATCAAAATGTGAGGAAAACATACAGAAAATAACCAAAATAAGATCTTCATTCTTTTGTCCCAAAATATGACCTATAATGCCAAACATATAATCTCAAAAAACACTAAAAAAATGCC